AAAAAAAAAAAAAAAAAACTGGCAGGAACCTACATAACTGAAAGGAGAAATCAAGGACAGAAACCTTTATGTTTCCAAGCTGTAAATTGTCGTCCTGTCTGACTTACTGATGTTTGACCAAATGTGAACTTCATACACAGCTGTCTGCCAGGCTCTGCCCTAGAGCCTCGGGGTGTATACTGTGTAGGTTTGTGGAACTACACTCTGTGGTCTGCACATAATGATGAAATTGCCTAATGATTCATTTCTCAGAACGTGTCTCACTTGTTAGTGAAGCCTGACTGTAGTGCTATGGGATGAAAGCTTTGCCTTTCATTTTTACAGTGGAATATTACTCAACAATACAAAGAAATAAACTCCGATGTACACATCAATGTGGATGAATCACTAAAGACTTATGATGAGTGAAAGACGGCAAACACGAAAGGACACATACTATGGGATTTCACTTATATAAATGTATAGAATGCAAGTTAATCTGTAGTGACAGAAAGAAGATTCACTGGTTTTCCTGGTGGTGACTGGGTGGGGGGACGGATGAATGACAAATGGACAAAGGAAATTGGGAGTCATGGAAATGTTAGTTAACTTGATTGTGATAGTAATTTTATAGATGTCAAAACTCATAAATTATACACTTTAAACATGTGCTGTTTATTATACACTAGTATAATAAAGAAGTATGACGGTCTAACAGTAAAACATATTTTTTGAAAACCTGCTCTGTTTCTGGGTTCATTTGGACTCTGGGAACTTAAAAGTAAGCAAAATCAGACACAGCCCCTACCCCCAGGAGCTAGCGTCTATTGAGGAGAGAGACATTATTTGAATCTTTGCTGCAGTAATGAAAGTTTCAGCTGTGAGCACTGCTGTGAGGGAGGGAGACTCAGTGCTGCTATGTAAATATGTCTGGAGGGTATTTGTCCTGGTCCAGGAAGGCTTCCCTGAAAAAGTAGTGACTAAGCCAAGACACCTAAAGAAGTTCAGGCATGGGAGGAGACCTCAAGCTCATCTTGTTAGAATTTATGAAACCTACAAATTAAATCATTTAAAGCAATACTAACTAGCTTTAACCTAGCCTGAGCTGATGCTGTGACACGAAGGTCAACCAGTATTAAAGATGTTTAGCTTGAAGTCGAACATGGTAAATTTCAGCTGCATGAGTCTCTTGCCAAGTTTACTATCAACTTCCCATTACCTATGGTCATGAGCGCTCAGGTTTGAGAAGAGGAAATGATCACTCCTGTTTATGTGTTGTGTTTGTCCTGGAGAGGCTCAGCACCCACGTCTGGCCTCGTCTTGACAGTCTGCGTGTTCCCAACAGGGAGAAGATGAGTCAGTCACCCTGAAATCTTGCACACGGCGGAAAACAGACTCTATTGAGAAGAGGTTTTGCTTTGATGTAGAAGCAGTAGACAGGTGAGTGGCTCTCACACTTTTCTCAGGAACAAATATTACAGAATTTGGATTTCTTACCTTTTCCATTCAGTCAGAATTTCAGGTGCTCCCTTCTCCTCTCCATCTGTCTGACTGTGTTCAGTTTGGAATAGCCTCAGTCCGATTGCTGATTTGCAAAGATTAGTATAGCTTCCCCACTCTTTTAGGTTCAGCATTGAGTCACCAGTTTATTTTGTTTTATTTATTTAATGAATAAATGGGCTTCCCTTCTGTGGAATGTGTTTTAAGTCTCAGGAGTTTGGAAAAAAAAAAAAAACTTAGCTTGATTGTATCTGCTGTTTGAGCTTTTTTGCTTGAAAAATATTTGTTAATAAAAAAATTAGTGAACATATTCAAAAGGAATTGGGTAAAAGTAAGGGTAGAAGTTTTACATAATTTAGAGAAGACAGCTTTTAGTTACAGCATCTCATCTATTGCTGTGTCTTCACACCCAGGAAAGACCCCAAACCACTTGTGAAATTCGCCTATGGAGAGAGAGCTAAGCATTACATTCCTCCAGAATTATAACATTTCATTAAGGTGTATCATTTCATGATGTGAAGCTAGTTTGACAGCATTCCAGTTCTTTGAGACACTTAGCAACAGGTTAATTCTTTCAATGAAAGTCACATGTTAAGCTTATATGAGCTGTCTAAGAGCAGCAGTGGTAGCATGAAGATTCATAATCTCAGCACGATTATCATCTAATGCCATATCATTTCTTCCCTTTATGAAAAAAAGAAAGTCATACCATTTTGTCAAGCCAGTACTTCTCTTCTTGGGATATTTACTTCTGGCCACTTTTCCCCTGCTCTAGAGGATCCAGAGACAGTGCCGCCTGGCGCGTGCTCCTCCCTGTGTTTGCAGGTTTGGAATGCCTTCTTGTCGCATGATGTCTCTGCACTGTGGCTGCCGGAGGCTGCGAGAGGTCCCAGGAGAGAGCATGCCCCTTAGCTTAGATCAGGAGTTCATGGCAACTAACTGCATCTTTTTCATTTTCTTCTAGTGGGCTATTTACTCATTACACCTTTGAATCTCAAGTCAGACAAGTTGGGTATAAATTTTGACTTTGTTGCTGAGTAATCATGTCACTTAGGCCAAGTTAGTTAGTCTGTCAGGACTTTGACTTCCTATCTGGAAAATGAAGGTCTTACCTACTTAGTCTATAGCACTGTAAAGATTAAAGTAGATCATGCATGTAAAATGCTTGGCAGAGTGGCACATAATAAATGCTCAACAAATATTAGCTGTTATTATTTGTTGTTAATTAGCTTGTCTTGCATGCTTTTTAGACTTTATATTGTATTTCATATAGGTAGATTCTCAAAGCAGAAAACTAAATGTAAAGAAAAAATAGTCTCAACCTTCACCATGTTTGGGGATGTGAGAGGGGAATGTGATGGAGAAGGGTTGCATGGAGGGATAGCTTAAATTGGGATAGCAAAGGGGACTCACAGAAAGTCTGCCTCAGACTAAAATTGGTTGTTCTTGTTCTAAACAACCCTCTTCTCTCTGTTCTAAGCATGGAATTGAAGGGAATGCATACTGTTGGCATCCATGAAAGAAATTCAAAAGACATGTTTGTTGGGAAGCACAGCCATCTGATGCTGCTCACATGTATAGTCCCTAGAGATGGTTGTTTGCATGGCTGTTGGGGGAGAGCATTACTGCTTTTTATTAGATTGGAAATAAGTTGAAAGATGCCTTCTGTTTCTGTGTTTTCTTCTTTTAGAAGTTGCCCCAGAAGTTCTAGAGAGTTGCTTTGGAGTTAGAAGTCATGGAGTGCCTCTATCTCATTTCTACCCTTGCCAACACTTCCCTCTACCTTTTCCCCTTTATTGGGCTTGTAAAAGGTTTGCATGTTTTAGTTGTAAGCCAAGAGCAGTTGTGTCACATCGCATACTGTGTGGGTTTGAGAAGTCAGTTTCTCCTAAGTTTTGTCTCTGATTCTGTTGACATGACATGGAAGGTTTTCAACCATGGTTCACAGTGAGGCTGCTAACTCCTCTCTTAATAAGCAGGAGGTGAGTAGACAGTTCAAATGTAGTATTTACATTTTTCATTTTCTTTATATTATGATGTTTTGACACTCTCAAAACCTTTCTGGTTGGGGAGAGACTGTCCTACTTGATTAGTCAGTTCTTAGAAACAGAGAAGGGTTCAGCCTGAGTGTGCCAGTAATGGCAAAGTAACCAGTCCAGAGCCACGCCTTCTCCATCTGGTCCATGTACCTGAGGAGGCAATAGTCCTCTGCCTTAGTCATTAAGGCCTTGGTACTGGACAGCTGGGGGTGCTCTTAGAACTTAGGGCCCCTAAAATTATTCAGAGTAGCAATTAACTGTTTTCCCTGCCCTAATTTGCCTTTCCCATAGAAGGTGACACTTCTCCCTCAGAAATTCCAACAAAAGCTGTGGCCTTGGGTTTCTTTTCACTCCTGCTTCTCCTGCATCTCCATGGATGCTTGTTCTTTCTCAGTGCCACTGAGTGGTGGTGCACCTGGTACACCTTGTATCTTGTTTCTAGGACTTGTGCATATAAGAAACTGCTTGCTCAAGCTTCTTCCATGTCTCTTCTTGAGAATACATCGGACTGACTATAACCTAAGAGAGATATTTCACATCTCTGAAACACCTTTCTATATAGACTGATTACAGATTATTTTATAGTTTGGCAGTATTTTTCTTGTCTTCTTCCTGTTTTGACCCCACCGTTCTTATGCACTTCCCTCACACATTCAAAAGAGAACTTTGGAGGGGAGGAAAAGGCATTTCCATGTGCTCACTGGCAGCATCTTTGGGAATTTTGCCCAGCGTCCTGTTCTCTCGAAGTTTCCTACACCAGTGCCCTTTAGCAAGAAGGTGATTGCTTCTGGATGTCCGTCTTTTTAATTTATGCCTTCCACGGATTTCTTAGCTCGACTCACTGGATTGGAGAGGCAGAGAGAAAAATACAAGTTTAGCATCTAAAAATGTAGAAGTAAAGGAGAAAATAATTGTTTTAATAGTGTAAGACTTCCAAAGCTCCCACCATATGTATACTGTAGAATATGGAAGCATTTATACTTTATTCTGTCAAGATACAAACACATGCTGAAATGTAAATTATTTGACCTTCAATATGCAGTGTTATAGTTTTTAAGGTTGAAGTCTTTTTCCTTTAGTTTCAGTGCTGGTTGGTATTTTATGTTGTTTGGCTACATGGGCTGTAGTCTTCAGAAAGTGATATTCCAGAAGGTCAGTGCTGTGAGCTGATTACATCAGTGTCTTACTAGTGTGTGGTGAGGACTACCTGCCCACAGCATCCCCAGCAGCATGGCATAACCACAGCTTCCTGGTCTCGGCCCCACATATTCCCAGTCTGATGTTCTGGAAGTGAGACCTTGAAGTCTACTTTTTGAATAAATTTTTCAGATGTTCTTTATTCATCTTATAAATGTTGTATTAAACTTTCACTAATATAAAACATTGTAACAAGCAACAACAAAACAAAACAAAACTCTCAGGCTCTATTGGAGAAGAATTTTGCTAGAAGAAAAGGTGATTTTGATACAGGTTACTTTATCAGGATAACCTCAATCACAGCAGAACCCCAAGTTTTAGTTAAAGATGGAGGAAGGATGAAGGAAATGTCAGTAAGAGAGGACATTCTGGAAGCTGGACAGTAGTGACAGCTAGCTCCTTGCTCCTCACTATAATGCAGGGAGATAATATTCCACATGCCCCACATTACACATGAGTAAGCTGTTTTAGAGGGAGAGGATACCCGCAAGGCTCAGATGGGGTTGGAACTGAAGTTTGTAGGGAATTTGTTCCCTTTGAAATTCAAGAAATTTAAGAGGCACCACTCAAGTATCCAGTTTGAGGCTGTGAAATTTGAGAAATGCTTTCCCACTTTTGGACCCATAAACTAAAATGAGTGGAAGTCAAAAAATGATTCTGTTGTAGTATTTATTGCTTTGTGACCTTTAGAATTCTTCACATGACAGAGTCAAAAAAGGCAGTGCAGGGGGAGCTGTCATTTCCATGGCACATAGTAGGTGTTCTACAGATGCTGGTTTTTTTCCTCTATATTCCTATCTTTTGTTTTTAAGATGACTCATTTCTTTCTAATTCAGGAGAGCAGCATGAGAAAGAAGTTAAGGCAGTCGTCCATTTTTATCAGTTGATTGTTTTTATTGTATACCAGTACATTGTAGCCAGTTTGTTAGTCCTCAAATTCTGATGTAAAGGGGTTAATATCTGACATTTGTGTCTACAGGAAGGACTGTTGTGACTCTGACTCATGAATAAGCAGGAAATCAAATTCAGTGCTAATTCAGGAATTTAGATCCATAGCTTGAACTTTGTGTGTCAAAGGTTTTCTCTACTCCTGAATACCTTTCAGAAAGTTGCTTTTAATTCTTCTATTTAAGTTCTACTTTTAATGCCTCAAAACTAGGTCCCCTCTGTATCCTACATTATGTAAGATGTATATTTGCTTATACATTTTTCAAAGGCCACATCCCATTTATATTTTTTTTCTAGTATCTGACTTACACCCTTAATTCAGAATTAGTTTTGGGGAGACTCAGACCAAGCAATTGTTGAAGACCTCCAGGTTAGTATTAGCTCTTCATGTGTTTGGCTTTCCTTCAAAGGGTTATTGTTTTCAACACTGAAAAGTAAAATGTCAATAGAAGTTTTTGTGTAATTCTTTAATCCTAGCCATATAATTGCTTGGGTTAAGATATCATGTCCATTAAAATCATTGTGATGTTTCTTTGAATTTTCTAAGTGTGCATGTTTAAAGTCAGCTTCCAAACTATAGCATTAAGAATAGGATGTGTCTTTATATGAAAATCTGCATTTTATAGTTATTGTGGTGTGTTGTCACGATATGCTACTAAAAATATTTTCTTAGAAAGTATTCATTATAGGTTGTATTACGCATCTCCAAGAGTCATTGAAATTCTAATCCCCAGTATCTGAAAATGAAAATGATTT